AATATCGGAATTCATTAATAGTTATTCATATCATTCTTTTTTCCTGATATAATAATTGATTTCTATTCTCTTTGCCTTTCCTCTTCATTTTCATTGCTTTCATTGTTTCATATACATCTCTTTCTTTCAACCAATGGCATTAATAATTAGAACGCAATGATTAAATTACAACTTTACAGAAAATAAATCATATGATTGAATACAAAATGATAATCTTTGCGTTTCAGAAGAAATATATTTAACAATTTTAAAAGCTTGGATTATATTCTTTCAGTGAAAGTGAATCCCATTGATATTACGGAAAATCTTTTCTTCGCTATTTTCGGCCAGAAGGATACAGATGATTTTACAATATCATTAAAAAGAAAGATGCAACCAAATTGGACAATATATTTTTTTAAGGTTAGACCAATATCCACATTTGCACGATCAATAAAACAAATATTAAGTTGATTAATACTTTTATATCCTGATAGATATCCTTTTCTCTATATATGTTGGTTAGTGTAATTGTACTGATCAATCTGTTAATTGCCATGATGACTGACACATATCAAAGTATTCAATCTCAAAGCGATATCGAATGGAAATATGGACTCAGCAAACTTATTCGTAAAATGCAAAAGTGAGTATCTCGCAAAAGATAAAGATTTTAAAATCAAATTTTTTCCAGATAAAAACAAGTAAAATTTTTTGCAATTAACACGATGAGACATCCTATTATATAATACGAAATCGAATTTTCAATGAAAATTTTAACGAAAATCGAAATCCTTATCTATTTTAAGAACACGTACAGCAGCTTCGCCGTTGAATCTCATTACTTCCTGGATTCCATACATTGGAAAAACATGTAAACATCGAAGTCGTGTACGAAAAACTGGTGTCATGCACTTATTTACAGGGCATTCGTTTATTCAGGTATGTCAAAGAAATGTAAATAAATAAATAAAACATATCGACAATGCTTTTTTTGTTCAGGACAATGGAACATTAACTCAAGAACATGATACTATTAATTTTCAATTACTTCGATCGAGTCCATTGGAAAGTCAATTATCATTAAAAAATTCAATAAGAATTGAAAATATTGTTGAGTGGAATCTTGTAAGACGAAAATACAGATTACGATTTGGCAATGAAATCGAAAAACCATTTACAGAAGATTCATCTATTAATTAATATTAACTATTGAATAATATTATACATAATTTATTGATACTTATAAAGTCGCCATTTTCTCATGAATGAAATCTTTATATTTTTTATTTGATATCTCTTTTATCTTGCTAATTTATGATAAATTTTAAATATAAAGAAATATATTCCTGTATGATTAATGAAAAAATTATAAAAGTTATTAATTATTAATTATTTTAAGTCAAATAAAACATTTTAATAAAATATAACTTTTTTTTATAGTATAAAAATATATTTGTTATTTCATATTTATATAATATGTTTTAATTGAAATGATATTTAGATTCTAATAATTAGGTTTGTTAAGATATGTTATCTCTCTTCCATATCTTTGATGTGTAGTTACAGTAAGACCGAAAGATGCAGCTTGTTCGCGTATATATTTATCTTCTTCAGGTGTTAAACATTCAGGGAGCGGTTGTCTTAAGATTTGATTATCTTCAGAAAAAGCTTTACACATTTCATATGCAGCTTTTTCGAAAGAAGAAAATTGTTTCTTCTCTTTCTCTTCAATTTTTAAACAATTTTTCCAAAGACGTTTTTCTATTTCCATGTATTTTCTTGTTTTTCATTTGCCTAAAAATTACATACAAGATATATTTTCAAGAGCAATATATATTATTTAATTTCATTACAACTTACAATTCTAATTTCTTTAATAATTTCCATATTTTTTGGTTCCATTTTTAGAGCAAATTGCAATTTTTCCATTGCTTTAGAAAATTCTCCCATTTTCAATAATGCCCGTCCATGACTACAAAATAAATATAATAAATATATTTATTAAGTATTTTTTAAATATAGATAAAACTTATTTCTCTAAAACTTATTTCAATATACAATACTTGAAATGAGTTTTAACTGTAGGTATAGGTACTCTATTGCATGCACTACAAGCACGACGTGGCATATTTGCAATATTATAACAAACTGCAAGATTATTATAGCCTCTTGAAAGTAATTTGTTTACTTCATCTTCCTCATCTTGATCTTTCAATTCTACTTCTTCCAACCATTGAAGTCCTTTTGAATATCTAAAAGTATATGACAATAATTATAATATTGCTCTGAATTATATATTCCATTGAAAAAAATTTTATTTTTTTTACTCTCTTATAGCCTGTTTCACTTTCTGTTTACTAAAACAGTCTTTGGCAGTGTTAAATTTAGCATTTACACTTTTAACAATATTTGGAAGTTGTTTTCTTTCTTCTGAAGATAAACATTTAATATTATCAATAGATCCATTATCTATATAATCAGTCAAATGTACAATAAATAGAATTTCTTCATTAGGAGGAATACGAGGAGCACAACCATATTTTCCATATGCTAAATCTGGATGTATAATGAACATAGCTATTTCATGCTTTTGCATTGTTGTTATACCAATCTCTAAACCTGGTATTAACATGCCTTGATTAAGACGAAAAGTTTCTGCACCACCACGAGCAAAACTAGAATCAAATGGTTCATCCCTATATTCAAAATGTCCTATATATTTGATAGTAATTTGTGCATCATATGGCACAGTAGACCCAACACCTTTTTGTTTTATTAATTTCATAATCTATAAAATTAAGAAAAGCATTATTTTCTAAAAAACTAACAATATACAAAAAACAATAAAAAAAAGTAATTACCTTTCCATTTCCAAAAATATCAGTCATATTACTTTTTAATTGCTCAAAACTAATACCACAAACTGTAATTTGCTTGTTTACATTAGCATCATTACAATCATCTTCATCTTCAAAATCATTCATATTTAAAAGATTTAATGCCTCTTCATTAGTTAATGGCAAATCTTCAGAATAACCAAATTCTTCTTCATCAAAATTTTCATAATCATTTGTGATTTCAAATACAAGCCCATCTTTTAATGTCAAATCTCTAAAAAAAAATATATTTTTATGTTATTTATAAAATATATTTTATAATAAAATCTTTGATATATATATATATATATATTATTTTTTTTTAAAGTATCGTAAAATCAATTTATATATATTTGTACCTAAGGCTAAATCCATCTGATGCATTTATGTATTTTGCCATAATTGCTAATATTATTTAATTATTTCTACTAACACTAGCACTACGATTGAAAATAATCTTCTTTCACTATTTCAAGATTAATTAAAATTATCTTTAAAAAAAAATCTCTCGCGAGAAAGAAAATACCAATGTTATATCTATATGTAAACACATATAATACATTAATACTTGAATAAACCACTTGCTAAATACGAGACAAAATAGCGGCAATGACAACAGCTGTTGCGGTGACGATTCGCTTGAAAATCACATGGTATAACATCATTTCCCCCACTATTAACCATTTTGTCCCGCATACCGGCAACTCTGTGTATGAATTCAAATTATAAATTATATATAATTGCAATTAAAAAATAATTTTATTTCTAATATTTGATAATTAATAAATTTGTATTATATTATAAATAATAAAAAACTACCAAATAATAGAACATGAATAATAGAACATTTTTGGACATTGATGATACAATATTAACAAAAAATCTTATTTTACCTGTAAGTGATAATAATAATTAGACTTATTTTATGTTAAAATTAGTATATAATATATATTTTTTATTTTCGTAGGAAAATAAGTCAATTAATGATAAATTAAAACCTGATTCAAAACCTTTCTTTATCATTCAACCGATACCAGGTAATTCTTATTAATCTTTTTTAAAATATACAAAATACATAACCTTTACATACATTATATATACATTATAGGTATATGCGTAAAAACTAAAACTGATGCTGGAGAAAAAATATTTCTAAATATTTGTATATCCGATAAAATTCCATCACCTGATGATATATCCGATGTAAAACTCTTTGAAATATTGTCTGAAGAAAATCCACAATTTGTTATACCTATGAGTATTGGAAGTGAAAGATTTGAATCTGATAAATGTAAATAAATTTCATAAAAAAATAATATTAAAAATAATATCTAGTTTCAAAAAATAATATTTAAAAAAAATATATTAATTTTATAGGTGGATCTCCATGTGTAACATATGATGTTGTAATTAATACAATATATTTTGAAAAATGTCAAAAAAACAAAAATTTTTTATTATTCACAATATCAGTTATAATGGATGGTGTATCAAATAAATTTAACAAAATATTAAATACAGAAGATTATGTAATTCTAAAAAACCGCAAGGTATATGTATCTTATGATTATATTTATTATCATAGAAATATAAGATAAAATGTACTTCAAAATAAATTATAATTATTTACCAATTTAGGTAATGGGAAAATTACAACAACACAGAATTGAAAATCGTGAACCACGAGTTCATACAGAAACTAAAAAAAAATTAATTGAAGAAATTAAAACTCCTATTTCAAATATCCATGAAAAACAAAAAAATATTTCTTCAGAAACTAATGTTATATCAAAATTGGATTATGTTTTACTGAAACAATTTTTAGAAGGAACATCTATACATTTAATTGGTTTATTCCAGATACCTAAAGGAGTAAGATAATTAAAAGCTTATTTTCACTAAATAATATATATATATTTATTTATTATTTATTATTTATAATAATATATATTTATTATTTATTTATTTAATATAGATTACGAGTAAAGAGATAGAAGTACTTCTTAATGAAGATCGTATTATAATTATTATTGACAAAACTGGTATCACATGCGATCTATCAATTCCATATATCATAAATATAGCATCTGTAAAATGTGTTTTAGACAATAATTTCAGAGTAAGAATATTATTATAATTTTACATATATATATATATTTTTTTTTATAATAATATTACAATAATATATAATTTATTTATATTTTTAACAGATATTAAGATTAGATATGCCAGTGGAAAAGGCTTTAGAGAATGTTCAAAATAATTAATTCAATCAATTATTTTATTGTAACAAAAAATATTATAACATTTATTTATATTTTAAAAAAGTTAAAATATAAATTACACTATTTACTATTTCAATTGATTCTTTTTATTAACAAAACTACAATTTTAACATATAAAAACAATAGAATTAGATCTACATTAACAAATATAAAACAAGATTTATATTTTTGGTATATATATATTGTATGATCAATATATTGTATGTCAATGCAATAATGAATGTATAGGAACAAACACTAGTGTTGGAATGATTTTTATAGTAAACATATTCATTTCAATTTTTAAGCTAATATTATATTACTATAAAAATCTTTTGAGAAACATATTATTTTCATAATTAAAAAAAAATTATATTTCTGTGTAAAATGTTAATCTTTCTATTCCAATCATGGTAAAAACATTTGGCAAGAAATATACTGTATTTACACCTATCATAAAACAAGTCATATATTTATGAAGTAAATCAATGAGAATCTTATTTTTATTTTCTGCATAATTTTCAGTTTTCATAATGTCCTTAGAATTAATTTTTAATATGGCACATATTGTTCCATAAATAAAGGATTTGCAAGCAGCTCTTGTTGCAAGAATGCTACAAAATCCAAGTATTGTTCTAAGTATCATACAACCAAACATTGGATAAGATGGCCATATAATATCATATGGTGGTGATTTTGTAGGAGCTGACATTGATCCAATATTATAATTAAGCCATGCTCCTACATGAACTCCTGTAGTAACAGATACTACCATAGTAGTATCACCCCTAAAATAAAAAATTTATCAAAATAGCAATCAAAATAATATATTTATAAAGTATAAAATTATTACTTTTATTACCTGGTTGGTGTCCATTTTTTGCTACATGGATAGTAAACTATAACAGCTATACTGAGGGCAATTAAAATTGCTAAAGCCCAAATATTTGTAAGAACATAATAATCTGTTATTTCCACTATAGGTACTAATGGAATCATTAATGCAATGGCTAATAATAAGCCTGCTAGGATATCTAATACTGTGTGCATACCCAAATAGAGTCTACTCATACACACAATTGTACACCTTTTAAATAAATGATAATAATTTTAAAATCATTTATTAATTTTAATCAATCTATTGTCAAAGAATAAGATATCACTTACCATAGAGTTGCAATTGTCCAACCAATGGAAATAGGATAAATATATCTATTCATTGTAAATAATACTACACTGAATGGAATTGATATACCAATCATAGCATGAGTGGATGGCATTCCATATTCTTCCGACCATTTGTCTTGTAATCGAACTGCTGGAGGACATGCAGGTCTTGCCCAACATATAATATCTTTTAATATTTGACCTACATACAAACTTTTATAATATAACTATAAAATATTCAAAAATAAAATTATTAATATAAAATCTTATGGAATAATAACATACCTATTGTCATAACAATAGCCCATACTAAAACAACTCTTCTACCAACTGCACCATCAATATTCCAAAACCAAAAAGGTATAAATGTAGAATAAAATATTTCATCTCCTAATACGGTTCCAAATAAAAATAAATAATACCAAAAATAATTTGTTATGGTATAATTTGTATTATAAATGCCTGATGATTGTTTTTGTTTATCATCTGCATAAATATTCACATTATTTATCTTTTCCTCTGTTGCAATATAACCATTTTCTTTTATTTCTTCAGATTTCAATAAAAAAATATTTGAATTCAGTTTAATATTTCGAGAATTATTATCATGAATTTCTGATAAATTTTCTTTACAATATTCTTTCCAAGTTTGCGTATAATGTATTTTTACACCAAAATATTTTTGTATTTTTGCCACTAAAGAAGCATCTTTTAAATATTCTATAACTTCTGACCACATAGTTTCTATATATAATGTACAAATTTCATCGCCAGAAAAGCATTTTATTTATCAAGCAATATAATAATAAATTTATAAAATTGTATAAGATTTTAATGTATAAAAGAATTGTTAAAATGGAAATAATTGAATGTAAATCTATCACAATATTGAATGTAAATGCTCACATTAATTTATCAAATATTCATCGAGTCATTTATAAGAAATTTTTATTTTTAATCTAATAGTTCAAAGTACACGTGTATTAATAAATAACTGTAAACTTGATAATATTGCCATACATCATCTTAAAAGATGATATTTTACTATCTTCATAGCACATTATTTGTATGCCATAAAGTAATTTATATATAGTTACAGAAAAGATGTTGTAATTTAAATCCGCCATATTCAAGACAAATCAACAATTTTATGGCAGTTTTACAATTAAATCATATTTATGTCTTAATGTAAAGAAGTATTAATATTTTTAATTATTGAAAATTAGGGAAACTAGAAAACGGAATAGCTTATATATTTGATAAAAAAGAAATAACTTTTGTCCTTTTATTTAATAACCTATCTTTCACCCTCTAATTGGGATCTTATATACAATAATAAAACTTATAAAATAAAATAGACCCATTTCCCATATATTACAATATATAAAATATACTATAAACAATATTATTTAAAAATACAAAAAAAACATTTCGCAATTTTTTTTTTCCATCAATGATATATATATATTGTTAAATTATTAAATCATATATATATGATTTAATAATTGAAATATTATTCGCAAAATGAATATTTATCACAGAAACATTTCAATTTAAAATTTAATCATCCATTATAGTTGATTTATTATTGAAACATTTGTCCAATAAGAGCGAAACTTTTAACAGCTAAAGAAACATCAGAAATATCAGAATTTGGATGAATATGTAAATCTGATGTGTTAACAGTATTTACATTGGTAATATTCTGAGAATTTATTTTTTGAATATTATCAATATAGTTTTTGCTGTTTTGTGTATTCATGGAATTTGTATTATTCAAATACATTTGTGGTAATACTGTGATAATAGGAGTCACGCTTGGTGAAGATATATCAGATTCACAGTAAGCTTGCATACTTTGTGTTGGGTTAGATTGATAGCTATTATATTGTGCTTTACATTTTTTCTCATGTACAAATAAACTACCAGAATGACTATATGCTGTACCACAAATTTTACAAGCATATGGTTTTTCTCCCGTATGCGTGAACTTATGCTCTTTTAGATATTTTAATCTTCTGAATGATTTACCACAAGTTTTACAATGGTAATTTGCTTCTCCAGTATGTGTTGTAATATGTGCTTTAAGTGTACATGATTTGGCAAAAGCAGCACTACAGAAATGACAAACAAATGGTCTATCACCAGTATGAGTTCTTTCATGATTAATACAATTAGAATTTGATGTGAATCCTCTTCCACAATATTTGCAAACATGAGGCTTATAGCCTGTATGTGTTCTCATATGAAACATGAGACCTGTATTTTGCCTGAAAGTCTTGCTACATATATGACATAAAAATCGTTTAAAATTTACATCTTGCTGTTCTTTAGCACGTTCGTGAATTCTTATATGTTTCTGTAATTTAATTTCTTTCTCAAAAGATTTATTACATTCATCACATTGAAATGGTTTTAATCTTTCATTTGGTTTATCTTGATTTTTTATTTTCTCATCACAAGTACACATTTTACCACATGTCAGACAGTTTTCTTCTCCTCCATTATGCATACTCAATTGATGTTTTAACAAAGATTTTTTTGTATCATATGATTTTCCACAAATTTTACAAGGGAAACCTTTTTCTTCATTATCTGAATCAAGTTCCTCTCTAATCCAACTATTTATTAATTTAATTGCTGATTTATCATCGCATGGTTTTTGTGTTTCTAATGATACTGCCTTTTCATCATGTCCATATCGATTTTTATGACTATTTAATCTATCTTGGCGAAAAAATTTCATATTACATACATTGCAAATAAATTTTTTTTCAATATGAATTTGTATGTGTTTTTGAAATGATTTTTCATTTGCACAATGTTTAGTACAATAATTACATCGGTAAAGTGTTTTATGATTGAAAGAATCAATATTTTCAGCACTAATATCCGATGATAAATTTGAATTGGATTTTTTATCATTAGATTCTAATGTCTTTTTTTTATGAATATTTAAAATAATATTTTCATCAGTTATAAATTCTTCTTCTATTGCTTTTATATTTTTGTTACTTTCAGCTTCAAAAATCTTCTTTTCTGGTTCAATATTTTCCAATTTTCTTTTATCTCTTATTCCTTTAAAATGGAAAGAACTTCTTTTGGATTAGTTCTTTTATGAACATTTAAATGTCTCACCATAGTATCAGTTTTTCTAAAATTTCTATTACATATTTTACATAACACTGGTTTAGGTTTTTCTTTAATCATATGCAATTTACTATGCTGTATCAATTTATCGAGATGAAAGAAATGTTTGTTACATTTATCACATGTAAATCTTTTTTCGTCATGAGTCAAAATATGTCTATCCAAAGACCTTTTGCTAGAATAGCATCTTGTGCATTTTGGACAAATATGAGAACTTTGAGAATCTTTTTTTTTAATATCTGTTGAATCAGTATCCCATTTAATAGTTGTATTCTTTTTTATATACTGCCTTTGTCTTTCTTTATAATTTTTTAAATTTTCCATAGATGTTACTCTTTTAAACATTGTCATTTTTTTTGTTCGATAAACTTCTCTTCCTATAATATTTTTTTCATATTCTGTTTGTTTACATTTCATATAATCACTTTGTTTATTTAAATTGCTACTAGATTCTTTATCTTCTACATATTTTGATTCATTAATTATTTCATTATCTTTTATATTTTTAGCATCTGAATTAACAATTATCATTGAATAAGGATTATAACCCATTGCAGTTTCAATTTTAATTAAATCAGAAGTAAAAGAATAATCAGTTTGACAATATTGATCCTGATAAAAAAAATAATGATAATTTTATAATCATTATTCTTTATTTACAAGATAAATATACTTACTATTGTAGTTTTACACAAGTTAATATTATATATTTTTTCCACTTTACCATATAATTCTCTTAATTGGATATCAGATTGTTGACACTGTTGTCTTAATTCATGAGCATCATTAATTTTTAATATACATTTCATGCAAATAGTGGAAGGTAAACCATCATTTTCTAATATCTGTTAAAAGAGACACATATTGAAAAATGTAGTGAAAAATACTTAAAAAGAAAGAAAGTATTGAAATTAAACTGACCTCTACACCACTGCACAAACGAAGTTTTTCAGATAAATCAATTGTGTTTTCATCTATAGAATTACTTTGTTTAGCATTGAAAATGCATTGGTTATTTTGATTTGTTGCAAGACAAACGCGGCAAACATTGCCACTATCATTTGATAAAATTGATGCTTTATTTTCGATTTCCATTAGATATTAGTTAAACTAAATGTTTAACTAGAAATATATTTATATATATTATTTATAACCGTTGATATATGATCATAATTTAGATATGATACAATAGCATTCACCAATACATACATGTAATTTCTTTTTTTATATAAAAGTTCAATGTTTCTGGTAGAGTTTCTATGACTATTATAAAAACTTAAGTTTTTTAGAATAAAATCATAATAATTATTTTAAAATAATAATCTTTCATTACATTACTGTTATTATTTTTTATTGTATAATATGTATTTTAAATTCATCTTTAAAAACAGATTATCAATAAAAACGAAAAATACAAATAAATACTAATCTAACCATTTCACTTGTTCATGACATAAGTAACTACGATAAATAGTAAATACTAAATGCACAAATAACGATTTAAGACATTAGAGTATTTGAAAAAGTTTATGCAATAAAAACAATCGTTTTACATTATACGTGTAAATAAATGGAGAACTTACCAGCAAAAAGAAGTTATGAAGATGATGATAGTACATCGAATTCGAAAGAAAGAAAAAAGCTTAATACTAGTCGGTACTTAACCTATGACGTTTTAAGAATTGTATTTAAATATTTGAATGGAATGGAACTATCGAACGCTTCAATGGTTTGCAGGTGTGGAAACGTTCATTATTTATATAAAGTTCTTATATCTTAAATGAAAGAAAAATTCATTGTTTATTCATCGTAGAAGTCTACCCAGTCGAGAGATAAACATTTGACAAAAGTATATCTTTATTTATTAAATTTTTAATAATTTTTAATAAATATTACGAAATTTTATCAGATTATTTTTATAATATCAATATTCTCGCAATTCATAAAATACGCTAATGTATAGCGCTTTGCATTTTAGATCTTGGTTAGAAGTGGCAAATGATGAAAAACGAACAAGAGGAGGTCCTATCTGTTTTATAGAAAATTTAGAAATGGGTGTGGAATACTTTAATATTCAAATTACTGAAAAATTAAGAATCAAACCAACATTAGGATTAATTTTTAAAGCTCCACGTAGATTATATAGTAAACAAGGTATATTATTTATATTTTATTTTAGTTCTTTCATATTTTAGGATAGTTTTAAATAAATATATATGTATTAGTTTTAATAAAATATATATAATATTTAATGAACAATTATATTTGATTTTAAGATTGCCATTGTAAAATACTTCCAAAAAATTGTGATGCAATAACACTTGCCACATTTGGTATACTTATCAATAATAAAGAAATGGAAAGTGCTTTAGACAATATTGTATGTGCATTTTTACCTGAAATACCAGATGTAACAATCACAATTGTTGCATTTTCAAAAGATAAAGTACAACATTATAGACGAATGAAAAAAGCTCTTAGCAGACATGGAACTAATGGATCTAAATGTCTTTTATTATTTTGTAATCAAAGAGGTCGTGCTTTAGCACAAACAGCTGCAGGGGGACTACAATTATGGTAAAATTCTAAATAATATCTAATATATAATTTATTATAAGATAATCTTGTTTTTTTCTTTTTTACATTTAGTAACAAAACAGTTAAACCTTCTGTATGGGGAGGAGTAGTCAAGGATTTATATGTGTGTAATTCAAAAAATCCTACAAGTGATGATTGTGCTCAATTTGCATTTTGTGTTGGAATTACTATAGTTGGATCAATAGATTCATGGTCTATAGTTATGGATGAAAGTTATAAAACTAAAGAATTAGTTGAACAGAGATTAAAGTTATTCAAGAGTCATATTTCTTTAAAAAAACATTCCATGGGTTTTATGTTTGCATGTTGTGAACGTGGAGAAAATATGTTTAATGAACGAAATGTGGAGTCGTCTATTTTCAAAAAATTATTTCCAGACATACCATTGGTAGGATGTTTTGGTGATGGAGAATTCGGAGAAACTACAATACCAACTAGTAAATATCTTTTATTATGACAATATTATAATAATGGAAAACTAAATAATTTTATTATATATTTTTTTCAGAAAGCTTTAATGATAAAAAAAATTTCTGGTACCACGAGAGATCAACTGTTTTTTTGATAATTACATATGGTTAAAATTCATAATATTTGATTATATAGATTTGAATCTATAACAAACAAAAATCTGAATCTCTTTAAAATTAATTGAGATAATATCTTTGAATTTAAACGTATGTGATATACGTTAAATCGCGAACTATAATATACGAAGTCTACAATTGTGATTTAATTGTGAGAAAAAATGTGTTTTGTAACGATTTATGTTAATATATTTTACGTTCGTATAAATCATTTTATATTTTTCTTTAATTTATTTCGTAAAGAAAGAAATCTTTTTGCTTTTTATTTATCTTAAAAGAAATGGATGGCTTCCTGAATAATGAACAAAACAATTTAAAAATGATTATCAGTATGGAGAACGACAATTCTATTTAATATCGCATATGCGTTACTGTTTCAACGCGATAATATGAAAATACTAAGCATATCCAACAGATAAGTAGGTAAAAATCTACACTTTTTTGAATACAATTATGATGTTTAAGGCATTGTTAAACAACCACTTGATAGTATTTCCGCACATCCGAGATTGGAATAAAGATAAAATAAAGGAAACTAGGCCATGTAAGAGATTGTTTATGTTTATGTGATATTGTTAGGGTTTATAAAAAGGTTATTTTAAAATTTTCGTAAGTAAAGAAACTAAGTAAGACAACTAGGATTTATAAGTATTTGCGTATTGAACATTTTTTATCGTTTATAAGTTTCTAATTTTTTTAATACCAAATAGTGGTCTTTAAAACAATGATTATATTAAATCTATTGACATATTTTATAGTGATATTAGTTTTTCTATTTAATTTTACGATTTCCCAAACATGGAATAGTGATTTGCAACAAAGATACGATGGATATGGTCAAGATTGGATTTTTATGCCTGATGGAAATGATCAACCGCAGGTTGCAGTGCTAAAACACGCAGAAAATGATGAACGAGACATTTTTGATGAATCAGAAATATCTTTTATCCTTTATACTAGGTATTTATAATTTAAATATTTATAAAAATATATTAAAATCTTTTTTGAAATATAAATATATTTCAAGATATGGTTCTAAAAATGGTACTCAATTATATACGGACGATACCAAAGGATTACAAAATTCTAATTTTGATCCATCTCGACAAACGAAGTTTATAACGCATGGATGGAAATCGAGTGCAATGAGTACTAATATCGCCAATTTGAAAGATGGTATTATAATAATAAAGATTTGAAAAAGTGATTTAAATCTATGCGTATTTTATAATTTTTTATAATTATATAGAATATTTAAAACATAATGATTACAACATCATTATGGTTGATTGGCAACCTTTGGCTGCAAGCACATTCTATCTTGGGCCAATGCAAAATACAAAACTGGTAGGAAAAGCAGCTGCTGAATTTATCGATTTTTTAGTTGCAGAAACAGGTCTTGAAACTGAAAATATTCATTTTCTTGGTATACAATATTATTAATTTGAATTAAAAATATAATTATTATAGTTTTTTTATATTTTGATTATTATTATACAAAGGGCATTCTCTTGGAGCACATGTAGCTGGTAATACAGGAAGTTCAATAACTTCTGGTCACTTAGGAAGAATAACAGGTTTAGATCCTGCTTTGCCTGGATTTCATTTACTTACATCCAATAAAACTCGATTAGATCCTTCAGATGCAATATTTGTCGATATTATTCATTCTTGTGGTGGAATCTTAGGCTTTCTACAACCTTTAGGTAGTATAGATTTCTATCCAAATGCAGGAACACCTATTCAACCTGGTTGTTGCTGTATTCCAGAAATAATAGGTAATATAGGTATATGATTTATACATTTAGTAATAAATACTATTCTATTTACAATACTATGATTCTATGCATAGAGGCATGTAGTCACACTCGAGCGACTATATATTTTACCGAAAGTATTAATTCTAAAACTGGATTTGTGGCAAGTAAATGCGATACATGGAATCAATATATGCAAGGAAATTGCAATTACTCCAAAACTACATTGATGGGAGAATATGTTGATAAAACAGTTACTGGAACTTATTTTCTTGAAACAGGATCTGAACCTCCTTATGCTATATCAAAACAAATAACTGATAATATGATTTAAAAAAATTATTAATATTTTAAAATGAATATAGGTAAATAAAACTTATTATAGAATAAAATATATGAATTTAATGAAAATAATTTTATATGCAATATATCTAATATAAAATAATTTTAATAAATAATAATTACATTATATAACATTTGATATACAACAAACTTCATGCATTGTCAACTTTCCAATAATTATTTTGAATATCGATATTTTATCTTATCTACAAAATATGTATTGATTTGATGTAACTAACAATAGCCGATTGCTTCAGGAATGATTTAAGATCCTTAAATTGGTTTGTATAATAAAGTCGTAACATATTTTTTGCGATAACGGTGTGTCGCAGACAAAACCATTACACTGTCTTTAATGCTTAAAGCATACAAATGATTTAACATAACATGATTTGGTTCTGGTAAAAGTGTTGGTTCACACTGAAATTGACATTAATAAAAATTTGTATATTAGTAAATTCTTTAGTAAATTAGAATATATTTTTGTATTTTTACTTACAGATAAAGGAGTATCTTTATTAAGGATAACTTGAAGTAAGTGTGGTGGCAATATTGGTGGACCAGCAACTTTCTCCCAAGGTTTATGAGGAGGAATTTCTTGTCCATATTCCGTCTGTGCACTACTTGTAACACCTTCACTATCTTTTGCAAGAGCTTGGAAAACTTCAAAATCAGATTTCCTCACAGATACTAAATTATTTTTGGAACCCATACCATTATCAACAATTTTCTAAAAAATATATAACAAATATAAAAAGTTTCAACCAAAGCATATACAAATCAAAAAATATTTTAATGTCATTTAAGATTAATAAAATAATTTCTTACAATATCTGGATCATGTCTCCATTCACCATCAACAAAAAACTTATATTGATGTTCTCCTTCTGGCAAATCAATAATTGTAACAAAATCACCATGACTTTTAACCATTGGTAATGTCTTCCATCCAGTAAAAGTTCCACTGATATAAACTTGTTTACCACCTCCTTCCCATTTAAAAACTGTTGGTAATACTTTACTATCTGTTACTTTAGTACCTTCAGATACTGTATTTGAACGAGGACGTTGAGAAGTAAAATCATCTCCATCTTGATGAGCGTTAGTCTATTATTAATAAAAATAACAAAAATTCTTTAAGCAGAATTTTCTTTATTTTTATATTTTATTTAATATTTTTTAATTGAATTTAATTGAATTTCATTATTGAATGTAATGAAATATAATTAAAAATACTTTAGCAAAATAAGATTCTTCTTCTTCATGAGATGATTGGAAAACTAATTTTTGGCTTGGTTTTTTATCAAAAACAAAAGCTTGGCCTTCCTTTCCTGGTGAAGGCGGAGGATATTCTTTAACATGACGATGCTCTCTATTTGTATTACTTGTGTGGTGATGTCCAACTGGTTGATTACTTCCAGCATTACCCATTATCAGACTATTGTTACAAAGAAAGATCACGTCAAAAATTAATTTGATACGAATCATTGATAAAATATGTAATAAAATATATGTATATCCAACCTATTTTTTAAATTTGTTTTGTTTACAAAAATCTAAATTCCAAGAAATTATATTCTATTTAATTAAAACAATGATTACGATCTAACTTTAGATTAACACTATTTATTATTTTATTTTCATTAATATCCTTTAATTGGAACATATGTTATTTATAAATTACAAATCAAGCACAATAAAAACTTAAAATGTCAAAAAATTATATGATAAAAATAATGATTTTATTAGATTTGACTAAAAATGGCTGCCACACTTGTTGAAAATTTACTTATCGATATAAGTGAATATTGAACCACAGATGAAGTATAGAATAGACGTGATATGCAATATTTTTTCATGTCACAGAAATGTTAATCACCTGATTTCTTTATTATTTTTTTGCCATATATGATATTATCATTCAGTATAAAAAATAATTGTAGCGTTAAAAGCTGTTACTTTTTCATTATGCTATTTACGAATATAGTAATATAATAAGCAACATGTTTTTTAACACGAATGATAGTTTATTTTTTAAGATTATAATGAAATTAATTATTTTTTTGAGCTTTTTTTTTTCTTTTTTATATTTATACTTGAGGTTACCAATATGTATTATTCAGAATTTCAGTTTAGTTACTGTTTAATTATATTTAATTATAATTTTAATTTTACATACTTATTTCATAGTCTTGATTTTTATTTTTTCAAATTAATGTTTTATCAAAATTCATCATTATTAGAATATTAAAAGATACTTTCTTATATATCAAGTAACATTTTATTTTTTTTATTCTATATTTAAAATATAGCTTAAATGTCTTTTACTGAAATTGAAACGAATATATAATAATTAGTTATAATTATAATTAATTATTTCATAAAATTAAATTATTTCAGAAATTTATATTAGATTATATTAAAAATTTGAAATTTTTTTTTTTAATCTTTAAATATATCTATTTGCAATATATATAATATATATTACATTATATTTATTTTTATCTTTTATCTATATTATATCTATATTATTTATTATGTATTTTTTCAAGATGAAAAAATTCCTTATTAATTTTCAGTTTTCAAAAAAATTAAAAATCTGCGTTCATGTTTCAGTTTATCGAATTATCGAAATGTATTCCTAATCTTCTAATTTGTAATTCGAGAATCAAAATCATTACACAATAATTTATCAATACGAAATCATTATAATATCAATAATTGTCATGTTTAAACAATTAATGTGTTACTTTTTTTTGAAGTATTTAATTTATTTAAATTTTGTACAATATTTATTTTCATAGTAATTTTTTATTGTTCATACATTAATACACATAATTTCTTATTTTAATTCTTTTGCAGTTAAATTTTTCTTTTCTTATTTTCTTATTTGATTGTTAAAACAAATACGTCACATTGTATTTTTTACAATAAAATTTTTGCTTGATTATTATTTTTATTATTTCTATTTTAATCGATTATTATTTTATTTTAATTATATAATTTGTATGTTTACTTGAAAATTTTTATTTTCTTTTATATAGATTATTAGCTAATTGCTGTTATAATTTCAAAGGCGGGAAAAATTTCAACATGAAAATGAAAAAATGATAAAGTTAATTTTTTGATTGCGCGTAATTTGAATTCTCACCTAAAATTTATTATACGATAATAAATATTTTAATTTTCGCGCGGATTTGAAATAAGAAACCGCACAATTCAATCAAAAAATCGCGAGACGAATCAATGCGCATCATGATGCGCATACCATCAGTTTACGATCGAAAATTGTGGTTATAGGTTGTGTTTCAATTGAAATATGTAATTACGTAAAATTTTTATTGATAGATTATTGTATTGTGATTATTTAAGCTTATATAATTATAGATATAGTAATTAACACAATGTTTTAAACTTGTTATTATCATTTGATTGATTGGAGTTTCGAAGACAGAATGGTTTCGAAAATAATAATTTTTATATATGCTAACGAATTATTAATTTGATTGACTTTTATGCGAATCTAGTAAAATTTTAAACATAATTAATAAATATAAATTTCCTATGTCTTTTTATTCAGACATAAATGAAAGTAATTAAATCATTATAATCAATTCATACATACATATATTTTTATGTATTTCTAAGTGCGTTTATTCGTGCGTTTGTATCATTTGTTGTGTATCATTTCCATGAGTATATTTATTTTAACTTTAACGCTCAAAATCTCAAAGCTAAAAACATTTCTTATAATTCAAGTATTTCAAGAAATTGATTGTTCGTATTTGTGTCGTTTCGTTTGTTAAACAGTCATATCCTTTCTTCAATTTGTAATTCGATATATTGAATTACTATGCAGATATCATTCCATTTGAAATTTATGACGATTAAACGCTTTAATTCAAGTGTATGATTTATTTATTGCATAATATTTATTTTACAATTATTCCCTTACTTTTTATATTGCTATTTTAATATATGTTCAATCATTTATTGTATATTTATTATTGTTATAATTGATAAGATTATATTATTGTTATAATTGAAGAAATATTATTTCTTTTAGAATAATATTTAAATAATTTTTTAAAGATAATTTATTCTCTTTGTTTATTCATATATTTTTTAAGATCTTCAATTCACAGTAACCTCCATGCGGTGAGACTTGGAAATCATTCTTATTTGATATATAATTTATATATAATCGTATTATATATATATATATATATAACTAATAATCGTAATGCAATTATAAATTATACAATAAATAATATGAAAAAATTGACTGTATACACGATTAAATCTTTATATAATTAAAAAATTTATTTTTATTCTTGAAACTGTAAAATGTAGAAAGACAAAGATACGATAAAATTAGAAACCATTTCAAGAATGTTGCAAATGAAACACGTAGAGAATAGAATATAATGAGAATAAGATGAAAATGTGCCATTAGCGCCATCTCTTAAATATTAAAAATCCATTCTCTTTAAAAGAATATTTTGGAATTAGAACTAAGAATTAATGCCATCTCTTGTTCGCTTTTAAAAAGATGACTCTGAAGAGATTTCTTCGACACTCAAGAGACGGCGCAGTCTATTTCTTATTCTATTATATTCATATTTCTCACTTTTTTTTTATTCCTTATACACATATTTTATTTGCGGCATTCCGAAAATAGCACTTTTAAATATTTTTATCCAATCTCCATCCTGTCACTATTTCCTCTCTTTGCTCTGCAAAATTTATGCACTTCAGATACAATGAAAATCGATAACATAGAAAATGATAGAAATGGTAAAAGAGTGCGTATTCTTAAATCGTATTCTTAAATTGTATGATATAGTGCTAACATTTAATGAATAAAAATTGATATTCGTGTAATATTTATATCATATTCATTAATTTTTAAAGATATTTTATTATTTTATGTTTAAATATAAATAAATATAAATCATTATAAATGAAAATATATAATAAATAAATAATTATTCAATTATTTTAATTTTCATTTACCGAGTAGAGACGCAACGGTTTCTGGATCTACAGATTTCTAGATAAAAATTTAAATATATAATAATATTAAAATAAAAGTGAAACGTACAATATATAATATAATATTTACCACGAGATCAACTATAATTGTTGCAAAATGAATAAATATGAACACAAAAATATTTTACCGGCAAATATTTTTGCAGTTTATATATTTTTTTTTTTTTTTTTAGTTATAAAATTTTCCTTATCGACTAAATGAAACATTCGTGATCATATTTACTGCTGTGATATGAGGTTATTATAGCTATAAATTTATGATACAAACTTTATATCCTTTTGTTCAATTTTAATACCTGAATAGTGACTAAAGATTAGTTAAATCTAAATAATAAAAAGTTAATTATAAAATTAAATCTAAGTAATAAAAATCAGTCGTGAAAATATAATCATGAACCTTTTAAATATGGCGTCATTACTTAATTATAAATATTGTTTATAAGAAAACTTTAAATTATATACTTTATTCGTTAATATTACAACAATATTACATTACGCATATAATGAAAAAATAGATAAATAACATTTTTAAAATTTTTGTAGAAATATTATTGAATGAATCGTTGAATTACATGGATTGTTATTTATCTAAAATGCATTCTCGTATTCCGTTATCGCTTCGATGATTTCGATAAACTGTTGAAACAGATTACAAGAGAGAAAGAGAGAGAGAGAAATTGATTTTTTCTTCCGTAATAAACTTTATCACAAGGTGAATCAATTATAATTACATGTTTATAAGAAATTTTATAGATCTTATCGATTATGGGAATCACAAGATAAATCAATTTTCCAAGTAATGTAAAGAAATATAAAATCTGTCAAATGTTTCGTTAAACGTAACATTTAAATATTTTCGAAATTTCATTCAATTGATGAAAATTACTATTCGGCTGATAATGATATAAACGCATACATACGTATCGCGCACGAAGGGAGGGAAAAAATAATAACACTAATTGAAATGTATCATATTTGATTTGATAAAAATTGGAGAAGAGCGAAGGTTCGTTCGTTCCCATGGATCGATGAAATTCGATTGTCTTGCGAGGTTCGCGCGCGAGGGGGATGCTAAACAGCGTGGTTTGTTGCGCATCGACGCTTCGTCTTCGGTTGGAAACGTTTTCACTCATTCTCGAACGTTCCGTTCGTATTAAAGAAATTTGAATAACAATGTCAATGAAGAAAGGGACATTTTTTTAAAACGCTCGCGCGAAATCGTGGAACGAACGCTTAGGTGTACAGTGTTCAAGGTGAAAGCATTTCAGAGAGAGAGAAAGAGCGATAGAGATAAAGAGATAGAGAGAGAAAGAGAGAGAGAGAGAGAGAGAAGAAGTTGAAAAAAGATGTCAAGCGAGGAAGAAACGAAAGAGACGACGAAAGAAGGAAAGGAGACTACCGAAGAGGATCTGCAGATATTCGAAACGCTTTGTATATCATCGCCCCGAAAGGTCTTATCCGTCTCACAACAGATGCACTTTTTTTCTTTATTTTTTATCTATCATCGAATCGCTACACGCACCGCATTGCTTTCTATTCTATTATTTTACTATTTCGGCGTCCACTTTGCGATTAATGCACGAATCTCTACAGAGGAAATGGAGATGGAGAAAGAAGATAAGATTTGCCAATTTTATTTTACCACCTCTCGATCGACGATTTACCTAGCGAGCAAACGGAAAAATTGTGTGTTCTAGAGAGATTCTTTTTTCTTTTTTTCGTATACGATCTTCCAGCGAGAAGGAAGATGAATTTTCGTGAATTTTGACGTTTATTCCTTTCGGATATAACGAATTTTAATTGAACTCGTCCCGCTCGTCGACGCACGATTCGATAAAATAGAGAAATACACTTCGAATTTCACGTTTTTCTTTTCGTTGTCAATGTGCCTGCTCGATATGTACCTACATAACACTATTCGTGTCGCGTTTCTTAAACGTATTGACTGGCGCGTTGGAACAAGGGTTGGCTCGGTTGCCATAGCGTTGGCATAGAATCGATTCTACCTGTCGCCTTTATCAGTCGCCCTCTCCCTCGTCTACCCTCGTTCACCCTCGGCTCCTTTCGCGTCTACGCGCGCCAAATGCAAAATCGGCTTTTTTTTTTTTAATTAATTTCTCTTCACTTTTAATCACCATATATATCGATAATCGATAAACTAGAATAGAATCGCGTTGAAAGTCACGGGAAGGCGTGATAATAAATACATGTTTAAACGAACGTAAGAGAAAAAGTTTTTACGAAAGAGATTATCGAAATAAGCGCATTTTTTTGATGGATAGAATTTAAACGAAGTTTTGAATTTTCTTTTTGAGTTTTCGTTATGGAGAATTAACATCTTTCCGGATCTGTCGAATAATCACGCAAGATTAGAGTGTACAGATGGCAGGACGTGAATAGGATATCGATCGATAAGCGAGCTCGTACAAATAAAATCGACGGAATTTTATTTGTAACGATGCAATATTGAAAATTGGTAAATACACGTTAAAAAAATGTGCTTACTTTTTTAACACGCTTGTCACGACTTGCACTTAATTGTAGGAAATATTTTTAATCGAAATGTGTCTTGAATGTGTGAATCGTTCAAGGAAGAAGCGATGACCCACGATCTAACGACCACATTGAGGAGCGAGATAGCAGCCCTCGAATATAAACGGGACAGACTGATGTCTGAGGTAAATGGATAAATGGATTCGCCTCGTACGATCTCGGCGATGGGAGAAAATTTAACGATCGAAGTTAACGAATAAACTCGCTTCGTAATAATTTTATTACGTCGTAACAAACGTAACAACAATAATTGGAGCGTGGCAAAGGTTGTATCGATACGTAACAGACGAATCGTAACATCGAATAAATTTTATTCGAGCGTTAATTTTAATAAACTGTGAATCCCTTGAAAAAGTAACTTTGCTCGAAATTTTTAACTTTTGCTCTTACTTTTTTTCCAATCGATGGGTTTACCTTCAACACCTTCAACTCTGCTTCAGCTCCAAGAGACGAAGAATCTCGCGAGATCCCGGGATCAACGAGTTGTGGAACTGCAACTGGAGGCTGATCAACTTCGCGAGCAAGCGGCCAGGCAGAACGCCATAGTTTCGAGTTTAAAAAAACGCGTACAGGTTGCCCCCTTTTTTTTTTACGATACAAAATTCTCGATTCCATTAACAACGTTATTCACCATATTTAAAAATTTCACTTAAAAAAATTTAGACATTTTCATTCCCTTTCTATCTCTATACCTACTCTTTTTCAACGTCACCACAAACAATTTCGAAGAATTTCTCGAGAATCGAGAACCTATCGATATTCCATTCTTCTCAAACTAGTAATATAGAGCAGTGGTTCTCAAATACTGTGCCGCTCGAAATGAAAATTATTTTGTATTTTTTTTTACATTTCTTTATCAATTGACACTACATTCAATCCAAATAATTATTCGATTTATTTGAATCGAACATTTTACAGGATATAGAATTGTGGTGTGGCACAATTTAAATTTTTCGAATTTCTTATAAAATTAGAAAAAAAAAATCCTGGCGAATACATATGCTAATTTTACAAAATATATTACTAGGCGCATCGATCGATAAACCAATAAAATTCTTTCAATTCATCCTTATTGTTAGCGCGCCCCCAAATTTTCAAAATTTATTGAACCGTGGCGAAAAAAAGGGGGTTGAGAATCACTGGTACAAAGATTATTCTCACCTATATATATATATATATATATATACAGGCAATCACGCTTTTCGCACGTACGCGAACAATTGCTCTGACTGTCCGAAATTAATCTTTTGCACTCGTGTTTATATTTAAGAACCCAACCAAGGCAACAAAAGTCCCTAGAATGTAATCACATTATACCAATTCAAATATATGTACGATAATAAAATGTAGGCGACATACGACAGGTTTTCCCTGTTTTCCCTGTTTCGAATCGAAGAAAAAAAGAGAGAGAGAGAGAAAAACTGATTTCAGGAATCAGAGGAGCGGGAGAGGAGTCTTTACGCGGCGCAAGGGAGGAGCGAGATCACGTTGCAAGGGTTGCAACGAGACTTGAAGTACCACGAGGAAAAGGTTCGGGAATGCGAGAAGAGGATACGGCAATTGGAGCAGGAGGCGTCGGAGGAGAGGGAGTCGAAGGAGCGGGCGCGTACCGGTTTTCAGGTTTTCGAAATTCCCTAGAATTTCCCTAGATAGAAATTGATTGATCTATCGATATATGCTCGAACGTACGTATATTCGTGCGTCTATATATACAAGGAGTTCGCGAGGAAATTGGCGAGCGCGTTGAGCGTGGAGTACCGTGAATCCGTGCATCCAAGCCCCGAGATGGTGAGTCACAAGGTGGAGGAGTTGGTGCAGGAGGCGGGCCGCCTTCGGGCGAGGAACACGGGCGTGGAGGCGCAGCTGGCCGCTGTCGAGGTCGAGTTCAGGGGGTGCAGGGACGCTTTGGATCGCGCAGTGGCCGAGAAGGAGCAGCTACAACGCCAGATGTCCTCGCAGTCGGTCGATTTGGATCGTTTCAAACAGGTACGCGAATAAATAAACGGGAGGGGAAGGATTTTCGGATTGTTAATGTTGATGATGTTGGTTGGTTGGTTTGGAAAAGGACAAGGAATGCCTCGAGATGCGATACAGGGTCGCGGAGAGGGAATTGAACGAGTTGAGGGATAAGTTGATGAGCGCGAACAGAAGCATAAGCACGGCGAGCGGGAATATATCGAGTCAGGAGGCGTTGATCGGCCAGCTACGAGGTGAGCATCCTGTTCCTTTTAACTTTGCGCTCCAATGGTGCAGGCACCACTCCGTTTAATACTTCGATAACTTCAATTGTGAGTCTCGGGCACCGCTCGATTCTATGCGGCGACGATATTTATTCGATTCGATTTTTTTTAAAATATCGCTTCACAGAATAGATTTCTAAACTCTCTTTACGTGTAAAGTGTGGAATAATGTATTATCGAATGGTTAGATTTTTTTTATTGATCACCGTGGTCGAACTACATTTTTGCCGTTAGAAATATTATTTTCAAAATTTTTGAGTTTTTGTAAGCGTGTAACCACGATTATTGAATAACGAAATTATTCGTTAAGAAATTGACGATGGGAAGAAAAATAGAGATGCAGTAAGAGAAGATGAAAAATAGGAATAGTAGACGGTGAATGTGAGAGCACGTTATTGGGATTGTAAGATTTGTAACGTGACAACAATATTTAATATTCGACAAATTTTCTTTCTTTATATACGTAAAGATACGTAGAATATTAAAATATAAAAGTTTCAATTTGTGAAATCGCGTGGAGTTGTTGGAGCGCAAAGGAGATTAGATTGTATACAACGCGAAACGAGATTTCCTTCTTCTTCTTCTTTTTTTCTTCTTCGTTTATCTCTTCTCGTTCACAGAAGATTTGATGCAGCGAGAAGAAAAGTGTCAACGATTGCAAACCGAGTTGCGACACTTTTTGGAATCGTTGGCGGTGTTGGTGAGCGGGCCGAACAGATTCGTCGAGTCGCACGAAAACGCCATCAAGGATCGCATTAAGGAGATTTTGGCCGAGAACAAAGATCAGGCTCTTGTACTTCTTCCTCATTTCCCTATTCTTTATTTCCCTTTCTCTCTTTTTTTCTTCTTCTTCTTCTTTCTTTTCGAGAAAGAAAGAGAGAAAATTTTCCCCCCCTCTTCTCCTTTAACGATCATCACGCCTCTCTCTTTCTCTCTTCTCCCCAGACTGTTCAAAATCTTCGCGACAAGGTAAACACTGCCACGGAATCGACGAGCCGACAGAGCGAGCTGATCGAGGCGACAGTGGCGAAAATGCGAAACACGGAGCTGGAACGATCGGAATTGGAGGGCAAGGTTCGAAAGATGGAGGCCGAGTTGACCGATTGCGAGCTGGCTAGGGAACGTTCGCGCAGGGACAAGCAAACTGTAAGTATCGATTAGATCGATCGATATTTCTTCGCGATATTCCCCCTCTCATCCCTCCTCATGGGGCCACGTTCCAGTTCGTCACGTTTTTGGACCGGTTAGGGAAAGCGATGCAAATGGACGAGATCTCCGAGGAGATGGGTATCGATCTTCAAACGGAATCGCTTTTGGTACGAGCCGAGCAACTGGCCAGATTGGAGGGCGACAAGTTGGTGGACAAGGTATATATAGCGAGACGGGGCGATCGCTCACGTGCGAACGGTTCATTACAACGACTCGTTCGGATCCAAACATTTTCTAATGTGTTGTCTCTCTCTCTGTGTGTTTGTGCTTGTTTCCGCGCCGCGACCACGTTTCCCCCCGCTCGGTCCAGTACTCGCGCCGCGACCACAACGCCACCTTGCCGAGGATTCGGCGCGAGCGATCCTTCCACGAGCTTGTTCCTTCCGTGAAAGAAGTAAGAGGCAACTTCAGTGCCTTGAATTTTCCAATATCTCGGCAAATTTTGTGTTTTCATCGAACGCTCGAAACACACGCGCATGCGTGTCCAACCTAGTTTCTAGTAGTTTCGCGAAACACTTTTATCGTCACTCGTTATTTCTCTCGTTTATTGCGTTTCGCTATCTCTCCTTCTCTCTCTCTCTCTCCTCCTTGTCAGACGTCAGTGGTCTATCAACTGCAACGCCGCGTGAGAACGCTTCGAGAACAATTGCAGCGCAGGGATCTTCACTTGGATCTTCTTCGCAGAAAGTTGTCGCTTCAAGAGGAAAGCGTTAAGATGAGATCGTTGCTTCAAAATGAAAGGGACGAAGCGTGCCTACGGTACGTTCATTCCTTTCGATATTCAACGTGGCATTCTTCTCCGACATTTATCTATCTGTCTATTTATCGATCGTCGGTTCGTCTTTCAGAGCGAAGAAGTTGTCGAAGCAAACGGATCGTTTGCAGGCGCAAATACTGGAGGAAAGATCGAGAAATCGGGAGTTGAGCGCGCAATTGACGGAAGCCGCCGATTACAAAGTACGAGTGATAAGCGTTTTTTCCCTTTCTTTTCTTTCTTTCTTTATTTATTCCTTTTTATTTCCGCGAAACTATAACACAGATAGCCGCCTTGGAACGAAGTCGAAAGATCGATGAGCTGCAGAAACGATTGGTGGAGAGCGAGATGCTGAGGACGCGATACTCGAGAAAATTGAGCATGTTGAAGGAACAAATGAGAAGCACCACCGAGACCGCCGAACAAGAGAGATCAATCAGCGATCACTCGTTGCAATTGTTAAGGGACGAGTTGGCGCAGGTTAAACAGAATCTTTCCGAAGTTACGAAAAGGGAATCCCAAGTACGTTCTCGATCGATTTGTCGCCACATGTTGCGCCCTCTTAATTCCCTTGCCAATTTTTCCTTGGTTTCCAGTTGCAAAGCTTCCGAGTGTCCGTGACGAAATTATTGTCGGAACCGATCTGCACCCCCGATTACGAGATCATCTCGCGATTGCAGAAAATGGTAGCGGCCCATCGCGACTTTACCATGATTTCACGTAGATACGAGGAACCCTTGGAGACCAGCCCCTCCAGATGTACCAGGTACGATTTGTTTAGTTCCGAATCCGTTGAAATATTTGTAAGAATATTTGTCGTTGAATCGCAAATCGATCTGCATCCAGCATACACGCGATGCATCCTCCCAGATCGCCAGGATGCGCACGATACGAGGACAACGGGTTCGCAGATCCCCCGGATCTTCGAGACATCGAGGACGAGTTCAACAAAACTCGGCCGGTACGAAGCAGCCTTCTTCCGTGACGTCGGCCTATATTTCGATGCTAAACGCCCGAATATCGATACCGACATCTCCTCCGTCCAGTTTATTCCATTCAAAAGTTTTTCCTTATCGATCGTTTCATTTCTCACGACTGCACGATCGTAGCAAGTCATTGTTGCGCGCGCGATTCGACCGTGTGCGCGTATGCGTAACGGAGTTGGCGTGCATAGCGTGTATTGTAGAGTGGAACAACCGCATTCCAGGATGTATAGACGGTAGAGAGCGAGACTGAAGTTGCGCAGCCTGTGCTGCGCAACGCAACGCGAGACCGGGACGAGACGAGAAGAGAACGTTTGCCTAGTTGCGCGAATCCCAAGAGGAGACTCTATCTTTTTTACATCGTTAATCACTCGAAAAAATTACTCCGCATTCTCGAAACTTTTTCGAAACGAAAATATATCTTTTATTTCGACGAATTCGACGAAAATAGAAGATAGGTTTTAGGAAAAGGTGAATGTTGTGGGATATAATTTACGAGGGATGTATTTCTTTATAGAAATAGGTTAGGAAAGGGCATCGTTCGAAGTTTTTCGGAATTTTATTAGGGAGATGGGGGTGCGTGATTTTGCGGAACGCGTTTCTTGCCTGGGAGAGAAATGAGTGTGCGTGTATACGTACACGTGTACGAGCACGAGTTGGTACGACTGGTTAGCCGTGAACTTGGCCAAGAGTGAACTACCTCTTCCTCTGCAGAATCGTGAATGCAAAGTCGCTAGCTTTGGCCTCCTTCTTATTTCTCGTCTGTACGAACGCGTGCGCTGCAGTTATTTCGGGGGAGACGGGATCACGTTATCTCTCGTTTTCAAACTACGCGTGATTTGCAACTACGTGTGCATTTGTATTCCGCGTTCTTCGTATTTTTCTTTTTTTTTTTTTTTATATTATTTGTCCGTGATTTACGATTTGTCAACGATTCAACCATTCGATCAATCGATTTTGCTTAATTGGTAAGTTCGAGAATTTACCGCTGAAATTTCTTTACGGATTCTCGTCGTTGACAGATAGAAAGAGAGGAAATAATCAATCTTTTGATCGAAATTTCACCGATCCTAAACTTCATCGTGAAATATTTGTTTCGCGTAATTTACCTTAACAACGGTTGATTCGCATCGCGAATAATGAAAAATAAGTAACGAAATAAAAAACACTATATAATATGTAAAGTAGAGAGTTTGTATCTACTTATCGAACAAAATCACGCATTCTTCTGCATTCACGCTTGCATCTACGATGTACTCCCATATGTACTCCCGTGTAAATATAAATATATCCGTCGAACAAAAATATCGAAATTTTATTTTAATTCCCCTTATGAGCATGAGAAGTGTCGTAGAGACACTTGTACCTTGTACCATCTACGTCTAGCGTATGGATGAAAATAACGATTAGATATACCGTATATCGTATCTATGTACAATTTTGCAGGAGAGGAGAAGTAAATCGAGGAAGGAAAAAAAAAAAAAAAAAAAAAAAAAAAAAAAAATGTAAACCGGTATGACGGTGTATAAATTTTCAATGAATTGAATTTCGCCACGGGAAAAAAGAACGATTGGACGATTTAATTATCGACGGTATTATCGATAGATCGTGAATCATACTCGTCGGTATTATCGTATCAGTTAACCAGTTTGCTCTTAATAAATTTTCTAAGGGCAGCCAATATCCCGCGCTTATAACGCGCTTATTATAATCGCTCTTCCGGATCCTGAGAGGGGGGGAAAAAACGCAAATTCACGTCAATAATATAAAATATATGTTATAAATCGTGAAAGAGAGAGAAAGAGAGAGAGAACGTTGTCGTTACAAGGTTAATATTTTTTAAGATGCTCGTGTTGGTTTTCGGGACGAATAGGATCGAGTAGAAGGGGATATAATACGTTCGACTCTCCGTTCCGGCTCTGGCTCAGGATCCGCATAGGTGAAAGAAATAAACGCTACACATAAAAAAACAAGCGCAATTTTTTTTCTCTCCGCGCTGTTTCGTTATCGTTATTTCCTTGCGTAAATTTTTCTGTTTCCACGAACGTGGACATGCTTAATCGTCGTTACATGTGTCAAAAGGGAATCGTTAAAATTATCGATTATTTTTTTTTCTTTTTTTTTTTTCGTCAAAAGTGGCAATTGAGAAAAAGAATTTTAGGAATCTGGGAAAAAAAAGATACTGACCAGTGTGATCTTGACGAAATTGTGTAAAAAATTAATATTGGAGATAAGATATTTTTTTTATATGTGGAAAAAAAAAATATATCACACACATTTAGGTATACAATAATTCGTTCATCGATCAACGATTTATCATACGATATATATATTTAAAAAGATGCTTACGTAAAAGTGTTATTTATTTATCGTAAATTTTATGTATTATATATATTTTCACTATATATAAGACTCTTTAGAATTTAAAGAATTGATAAAATATTCCAGATATTACGTTACGTATATCGTTTTCCATCGATTTGGATTAACGATAAAAATAAATATAAACTTATCTTTATTAAATTCAATGACGAAAATAAGGAAACTATTTCAATAATAAGTTTTATTCCATTATTCGCTAATCTTTCGATTTCAGTTATAGTCATTGTAGAAAAATCGATTAATATCGTTAAGAAGATAAGGTGATTGATTCGCGAAAAGATATAAGCAATCATTTTTCTGTGCTGTGTATCAAAAAAAAAAAAAAAAGAATGCTCCAAATCGTTACATTGATCGAAGGAATGCGCGTAAGATTATTCCCCTTAACTCGGATATTTTCGAA